AAAGAGCCCGCGGCGCAGCGCGGGGTCTGCAAAGAGACACACAGAAAAAGAGAGAGAGAGAAAGAGAGAGAGAGAGAGAGACACGGGGAAGGTGAGTGCGGGCGGCGGCTGCTGCTCTGCCAGCCCTCCTTCACCACCATCACCACCTCCGCAGCCTCTGGTCCTGGCACACCACCCGCTCTCCGCATTCCGGGGCCACGACCGCTTCCCATTCATCCCTTCCACCTTCCTCTCCATCATCGCCTTCCTGCTCGGTCTCGGCTGCCCCTTCCACTCCTGCCCCTCCGTCCCTTCTCCTCTTTGACTGCCCCGCCTCGCCCCGCCGCCTTCTCTCCCAGTCCCAGTCCCACCGCCGGTCTTTCTGCCAGCACCGGCCACCGCATTCCTCGGTCATTCATTCATCACGGTGCCCTTTCTCCGCCGTCCCCGTTGTCTCCCTCTCCCTTCTCCCTTCGCATCCTCAGTCTAGATCTACCTTTCCCACCCCCGACTCTGCCTGGAGAGTTGCCTCCCCTTCTCCCTTTTCTCTCTCCATCGTCCACGATGAGTTCCATCCCCTGCTTGGTTCTTCGGACTCAAGACCCTCCCAGCAGGCTTCCATGACACCCAGCCACCGTCCCGCCACCATCTCGGTCCGTCTTTTACATTCTCTCTCTCTCTCTCTCTCTCTCAATCTCTCTCTCAATCTCTCTGGGTCCGCCGTGGTCCCTGAGTCCTCTGACGCCCATTCATTTCTTGCCTCCATCACTTCCTCCCCAACTACTCAGTCCCAATCATTCATTTCTTCTAAGCCACGAATTTCCCCCTAAGTTTTCCGTCTTTCTTTCTGTGACCCCTTCTCTTTTCTCCTCGTTCTTGCATTTTTGTCCGCACTCCCCCTTTTCCACTCTTTCTCCCCCACTCCGGCTGGCTCTCGCATTTCCCCGTTCTTCCACGGACTTCCCTCGCCAATCCCCTTCTGCTCTGTTCCTGGTGCTTTTGTCTGCCTCTCCCCTCATCCCATCACTCTTTGCCCTTCTTCACACAGCCACCCCACGTCTACTGACAGTTGTCTTTCCGTCCCTTCTCTACTCTCTGTCACTGCCCTGCTGTCCCGGGGAACTTCTGTCTCTTCCCCACGATCAACCCCTGCTGCGCGCCCCCCCCCGTCTCCCACTTTGTTCCCCTGGCCGTGAGAACCACAGCATTTCTCCCTACACGGAGGACCTGCCTGTCCCCCTCCATTCATTTCCAGGGACACCGAAGCCACGGAGCGCTCGTTTTGCCCCATGCCATGCGTGTATTTGGGGGAAGCAGCTCCGCAACCTCCAACCCTCACGCGTGACTGTGGCAAGAGAGACAACTCGCATGTTGTAGGGAGAGAAAATGTCAATTTCCCGGCAGCCGCCAGCCATCCCCGCCGTGCCTTCCAACCCTGGCTCAACCCAGCCTCTGCCCTCGGCTTCTTGCAAGGCAAACTTTCCATCTCTCTTGGCGGGGGGAGGTGTTCTCCTTTTTCTCGTTCCCCCCCCCCGTCCTTCTTGCTCTCCTTTCAAACCTTCCGCCTCCCCGGTTTGCCTTCCGCCCCTCTTTCCCTTCCTCGCCACCTCCATTCTTCCGCTGCCCCCCCCTCGCCCGCACTGTCCTTTCTCTGCCTTTGAAATTCTCCCCATTCAGCTTTCTCTCCCTCCTC